GTACTAGAGTTGTTAGAGTGAAGACTACAAAGTTGTGGAGGGATAAAAATAGATAAAATGACTTATCTACGAGACCAATTAAATAAATATTATACCCTTAATAAATAATAAAAAAAAAACCCTGGTAAATAACCAAAACCCCTTATAATGTAAAATATATAATAAACTTAGGGGTTAACATGTAATTTTTTAAAATCATTATAAATTTATAACCATTCATTTATATTTATTTACTAATTAATTAAAATTTTATAAATCACCTTCATAAAGACAAAAACCCCTTTACATAATTATATATTATCAAATATAAAAAAAAATTTAGAGACTAAATAGATATTTATCATGCCTGCATAGGATGATCATTTACAAGTCAAGTCTGGGCTTGGGATTGGGACTGATCGAGCCCTCACAAATTTGATAGGCCCAAGATCTGTCCTAACCAATTTTGGCCTGATCCCTCAGGACCCGAGCCAAGGACCGATTGAGTCATTTGGCCATCTCTATTTCCAAGTAATAATATGTCTAACATATATACAGTAAAACCTTTCTATAATGATACTCTATATAAGAATAAATTATATATAATCATAAAAAATTCTAGTCTCAATCTGGGATAGTTATAAATAAGAATAAACTTTACATTATAATAAGTTATAATTTTTCTAATTTCCGTCTTAAAAAAAGTTGCCTCTATATAGTAACAATTATCTGTATATTATAAAAAAAAAAATATTATGTAAAATTAAATGTTTAAACTGAAATAAAATATTTATTTAAAATTGTTTGGGACAACAATTTATGTTTTAGAGTTGTTATCACATTTTTTACCTTACGAGTACGTAATAACTTTTTAGTTTTTCAAGCATGTTTAGAACTTCATGGCACAAGACTTTTTGTATTTTCATACTATTATCCTTAGGATTATTTCCTTTATCTTCTTATCTAATTGCAACAATGATTTCTCCTTTGGTTAAAGTATACACGATTAGGTTGCTCATTTGCATAATCGAAGAAGATATTAATATCCATTCGATTAGTGTAGTGAATTTGTCGAATCTGATCACTCAATTCTATAGTGACTCTTTTATTCTCCTGGTCCACTTTATTTGTAACTTACAATTCATTGACATTAGTGATCCTTATTTTGCAGTGCTTAAAATCATTAACAATTGTATGTGGCTTCCAATCAATTGACAATGCATCAACTGTATTTACAGTTCCATCAATGACACTTATTTTTGCTGGTTCTAAGAAACGATCTTTTATCCGTTTCAAAAGTAGGCAATTGAAACGCTGTATTGAAATTCTAATATTACAAAAATATAAATTGAAATCATAACACTGTACTACTAAAACATGAATTATAAAATAAGAAATCAAAACTATAATTTTTGTAACTACACCCCTATTAAGTTATAACCTCTTTATAGTAATAAAATTAGTTAGTTTTAATATTATGAATATAAAAAGGTTTTACTATATATATATATACAACAATTTTGATTCATAAGATAAGTTTATCTGTCTCTTAGTGTTAGGAGATTTCTTTGTCTTCTGATAACTATTTCAAACCAAAACAAAAAGCATTGGTTATGTTTATTTTGGCTCCGTTTGATTCACTCTTGAAAATAACATTATGAGTTTTCCCAATAAAGTTAAACAGTAAAATTGGCTTATTCCAAAATATTATTCAGTTTCTTTTAAAACCCCCCCTAAATTTGTTAATTTAACTAAACACCCCCAATTATTTTTTTTAGAAATTGCAAAAACACTCCAGCAACCCACATTTACCAGATTCCAGCCACCACTGTCGAAGCTGGCCGAAATCTGGTATAATGACGCACTACCGGTTGAATCTGGCTGGTAATGTGCCGATCTAGCCTTTTCTAGCCAGATCCACGGTGAAAATGCCAGATCTTTGGCCGTAGCCAGTCGTCAACGATGACTGTATCTTTGGTCGTCATTGACGACCAAATTCAGTCAGATCTGGCCGTCGATGGCCAAATCTAGCCGTAGATCTAGCATTTTTTGGTCAAATCACCATGGATCTGGTCGGAAAAAGCCATATCGGTGCATGACCGATAAGATCATGCGCCGATACGGCGACTCCTACCACCCTTCGGCTGTGGTGGCCGGCTGTTCATATTTAATGGGTGGGTTGGGGGTGTTTTTGTTAATTTTTAATATTTTATTATAAGAGTGTTTAGTAAATAAACAAACATAGAGGGTATTTTTGTTAATTTCCAAATCCTACATCGTGATACCCACCAAATTTAACTTTTTTCAAAATATTATTCTAAAAAGTATCAGAATAATGTACCAAACAGAACCTTTATTATTTTGAATAGTATTTTTGAAAAAGTTGAGTTGGGTTGTTATTACAAGAATAAGATTCTAAAATTAACAAAAATACCCTCTATATTTATTAATTTAGCTAAGTACCCCCTACAATAAAACATTGAAAATTAACAAAAATACCCACATCCACCCATTAAATGCCGGTAGTTGGCCACCACTGCCGGGGGGTGGTAGGAAGTCGCCAGATTACGGCAGAAGATTTCGACCACTTCCGGCGGTGGTGGCCGGAATCTGGCTAAGGATGTAGGTGGGAGTGTTTTTGTCAATTTATAAACTTTTATTGTTGGGGGTGTTTAATTAAATTAATAAACTTAGAGGGTTAAAAAAAGTATATTGAATTGAATAGAGTGTGATTGGATTTTGAGAATATCGAAATAAATATATATTTTGAGTATAATAGAAATAGGATAGAGAAAAAAACACACCATTAATATTTTGTCCTGTGCCCCGAAAGTAGAAAGTGATAATCAATCTTTAATGACCAACTTAATTAATTTATTAAATTAGATTCCCTTTTGGGATAGCTACCCCTAATGGTCAAAATGTTTAATGTTGCATTATCTTGATATCAATTTCAAATCCCTTGTCGATTGTCACAACCATANAATTCCAAAAAATTTATAGTCCCTTAACAAATGGTTATATTATTTAATACAATTTTAAAACAAATGGTTATATTATTTAATAAAATTTTAAAACAAATGGTTCTATTATTATTAAATAATTTGATATCCTACCCTTTGATTTATGTATTGCACAATCTTTTAATAATTCCTTTTCTAAACGTATTAATACATATTTCTGTTAACCATCCCCTGAGTAGCCGAGTGATTGATTTAATAGAAACTCTTAGGTGTATATCTCAAGAGGTTTTGAGTTCGAATCCCTCTTTGGTTACTAATAAGAGTGGCTATTAGAACTCTTATCGGACCGAGAGTTCTAAGGTTCTAGGAGATTTATTGAGATGCTAGTAAACTAGCTCGGACACCCACGTCATAAAAAAAATATATACATATATATATATAGAGTAAAACTTCTCTATAATCATAATGGTGGGATGAACTAATTTTATTACTATGAGGATATTATAACTTAATAGAGTTGTGGTTACAAAAATTATTATTTTGATTTCTTATTTTATAATTTATGTTTTAGTATTACAATATTAGGATTTCAATTCATGTTTTAATAGTATTAGGATTTCAATTCAGTGCTTCAATTGTCTACTTTTGAAACGGATAGAAGATCGTGTCTTGAAACTAGCAAAAATAAATGTCATTGATGAAACTGTAAATGCAGTTGATGCATGGTCAATTGATGTGAAGCCACAGACAATTATCAATAGTTTTAAGCACTGCAAAATTAGGACCTTCGATGTCTCGATGAATTGCAAATTATAAATAAAGTGGATAAAAATAATAAAATAGTCATTATAGAATTGAGTGATCAAATTCAACAACTTCATTGCACTAATCGAATGGATATTAATGTCTTCCTCGATCATCCAAATGAGCAACAAATCATGTATATTTTAACTAAAGAATAAATCAATGCTGCAATTTAATAAAAATAGAAAAGAAATAATATTGAGAATGATAGTATGAAAATACAAAAAGTTTCATGCGACGAAGATCTAAACATATTTGAGAAGCTAAAAATATTTTGGCTTCAACAAGAACTTTAAAGCATAAATCATAAATCATAAATCATTATCTCAAACAACTATTGATAAATATTTTGTTTCATATTAAACCTTTAATTTAATATAAAATATATATTTTTGTAATATAAAAAATTATTACTACGTAGAGTCGGCTTTTCTTAAGGTAGGAATTAAAAAAATTATAACTTATTATAATGTGAAGTTTATTCTTATTTATAACTATCCCAAATTTAAATTTAAATTTTTTATGATTATGTAAAATTTATTCTTATATAGTGTATCATTATAGGGAGATTATATATATATATATATATATGGAGAGAGAGAGAGAGAGAGAGAGAGAGAGAGAGAGATTTCTGTTGCATAATAAATATACCATCTTCACATGACTTACCTATTTACTTTAACTGCATCATCCATCTACATCATTCTAAATGCATTTTATCCATTATTAATATTCACATTTTTTATCCGACGGCTAACAGTAGACGACCCACCGTATTTAAACTTATTAATAAACAAACGCATCCCCCACCAAACAAGGCGATGAAAACAACAACACATGCTAACCCAAATAACAACAATATTATATATGATTAAAAAAAGAGGTCAGTCGTATACATGTGACTTCAAACTTACATAAATAAACAAATAAAAAAAGAAAAGACAAACCTCCGTAAATTAAACGAATGGTCTAAGTCCACATTAAGACCCCTTAGGAAAGTGCAAGGAAGGAGACATATTTAAAGCCAAATTTCGAAACAACATTAATACTATAAACGTGGGTTGCAACCACAACACGCCGTCCCTACTTAAAATAATAAAGCTTCTATTGCACTGCTAGTATTATATTTGTATCTACCGAGTCAAAAGAGGCAGGCTAATACAACTATTTTAGCCTCATCTCCTCATCAAACCACATTACAAAGTTATATTTCTTCCTCGTGCTATTCCAGTCCAGGTCCCACGATGCTAATTTTAGGCGGTCCCAAACCGCGTATTAGGTTTAACAGCCATAAGGCGACACCGAAGTCAACCTGTAAATAATTCACCGCCGCGTGTTACTTAGTATACTTTGAAAAATCTTGTGATTTCATTATCAAACACTTTTATTTGAAATGAAATTCAAAGATTACAAACACAGGTAAGAAGAAACACAAGAAAATTACTCCGACTTTATTGGGATTCAACATTTACTTGATTACTTTAATCTAAAAAATAATAAAAACTAAACGGGATTGTTGTTTCCCATGATTATCGCACATTTGGGATAGTATTTACCGCTACGTTGATTCGGATCAGAGTCCATGTCATTCCTGGTTTCCATGAAGCGAGATTTGTGTAAATAAATGGGATTTTTCAACTACTTAAATCTACAGGATTAATCATTCTTACTCGTGTCTATCTATGGCAACAGTTTTGATGGTGTTTTTGAAATTCAAAAGTTTCAGAGAATTAAAAATAAAAACGTAACCATGTACAAATGAGAAATCAAAATAGAGAATTAATTTCACAATATTCAAACAAAGAAAATAAGGCTTTCGAATGTGACATTTAAGATCATATTTACCCATGCAGCAAATGAAAGAAATTATTAGAGACTTGAATTATTACCTCTCTCTGCGTTTCTCGAGAAATCTCTGCAATGACTTTTTGCGAGCAATTGGGAGATCTGCAAATCACACCAAATTATTTCAAAAGTTCAATTAATCCTTCTCCTCCATGATTAAGAAAGAATACTAATAAGAATAATCAATGTAACAGAAACTAACCTCCGGTATTAAGAGTCTCTAGCAGCTGTTGTTGGTCGGTAGCAGTTTTTGAGTTTTTTGATTCTTCAGTTTTGGAGTTTCCATCAACAGCAAGTTTCAGAATGCATTCAGCCTGTAAAATTATTCCACTAACAATAAGAAACAACTCTTAACAGACAAAAAATAAATAAATTAAACAATTGAACACTCTTGTTTAGACAAACCTTGTCTCGAGGAACATCGTAAACGGTGACCGTTCCATTGTAGAAAATAGTCAGAGGAGCAGTTTCCGGAAGGTTCTCTGTAGCAGACCTGAGATACATATAAAACTACAATTAAATAAAAATATTTTTTCATGGAAAATAAATCAATTTTTCTTTATGACACAAACAGAAAGTTCTTCAACGAAACATTTTATTCAAGTACCTGGAAACGGAGATATGTTTAAAAAGAGGCAAAGCAGGAAAAGAAGCTGGCTCTTCTTTGGGAGTCGTCGGCATAGAAACCGGTAACTTCTTTGAATCAACAGTATTCACGGAACCGGAGGCAATAACAGATTTGAGTATTTCAGGATTAATCTTAGAAATGGCGCCCTGAAGGTCTGCAAAAACACATAACAATAAGTTCTAAACACAATTAACACAAAGAAAAAACAAATTAATCAGAAAGGGAGATTAGAAGGAGAAGGCACGTACCACGAAAGCTTCGTTGACGATGAAGAAATTTCTGGAACTGAGATTTAGAGGAAGCCATTTCTTTCCTCTCCATGCCAAAGAAATCAAGTTCAACTGTAGCACGCGACATTATTTTGTTGTTGCGGGGAAGAGAGAAAGTATGAGAATGGAATTCGAATAGTTAAATTGTGTGTTTTTGGGTTTGAAACAAAGAGGACGATAACAACTTAAATGGGGAAGCGGGACAGAGAATAAAGAGACACGAGGTACACATGAGATGGTAGAAATGTTTTAGAGAGAGGTGCCTAGGGGTTGGGTTGGGTTTGGTTTGGCTCGTAAAGAGCGCACGTCTTCCATGTGATGTCCGTGGCAACATCCAAAAAAAGTAGGCGGTCCCACTTGACTTAAAAGACGCAACAGTGTAGCTCAAGTCTTGTTTATTGGTGTTGGTCTTTATCAAATATTATAATATTAATTTTTTTCTCTGTCTTGGACTCAAATGTGATCGGCTAATTTTGTTCAGCATTGTTTGACCAAGTCGACGCCGTTCGGTTGCATTGTTAGACAATTCTATCCTTCCAACCATTCACCTTTTTTTTAAACTAAATAAAATAATGAAATTTAAATTTACAATATAATTAATAAATTTATTGATCATTTACTTTTTATGCCAATCTTATGAATGCGGTTACTTTAATTTTTGTTAAAGAAGTGTTAATGCGGAAAATCACACCAATTAAAGATACGTTAAACAACATTAGAACCATGTAAAATATATGCGTAATCCTAATAGATTAGCGATGGGATAATACAATAATATTTGCATAATAATTAACATAAAGTATTAAAGAACAAATGCAAAACCTGCTTCTATTGTCAATTTGTCATGTCATGTTATTGAATTTGCTTTTAAAATGAGTTTCTAATTAGTACTCTGTGACCTATTTTCATAGTCTCTCAAAATAGATTATAATTGAGTTTATATAGTGTCAGTTAGATAATTGAATTGAAGATAAACTCAAATTTAATCAAACAAGAAAGAGCAAGATCTTCGACTTTAAATTATGGAGTCTAGTCGCAAGATATTTTTGTACCAAAGAAAGATTTATCCACTCCCAATTTGGCACACAATAAGAAGATAAAGGTAATTTTAGATTATGTACAAATGATTCAAAAGTGATATTATCCATATAATCATATAATTAACAATTTAACATGATAATCAATTACAGTTAATTACTATCTCATATAAAATTTAGATTATATGATATTATTTATTCGAAGTGCTATTTCGGATTTTTCCAAATAAAATAAACCTAAACAATACTTTAGCTCATGGTATTATTCTGTCATATTCACTATAATGAATAGGTTTAGGAATTAGTACTGTATCAAAATAATTTTAAGAAAAGTTGAGGTATTATTCTGTCATTTAATGCATAATATATATATCCTAAAAAAATGTGCCGACAACAGTAGGTTCCACTCCAGTTGGCATTTGTTTCCATTAAATTTTTCCTTATAATTAAACGCGGAAATTAAAGATTTGGCTCAAATTTGTGTTGTTTATTTAATATTGTTGAAAAAAGGACATTATTGTAAAATCACCAAGGACAGCCTATTTCCTTAATTAATTAATTGATTAAACTAGCGGAATTGGAAACAGTGGGTTGTTAGGAAATAAGGGAGTACGAAAAGGATATTTTTGTGTTGCATTTGGTCCTCGTGCCACAGCAGGTAACGTGAACCAAACGAAAAAACTCAAAAATCACGTGATTAAAAACCTCTCAGATGCTTTTTCTCACGTGTTTAAATTCAAAAGGTCATTCTCGCTTTAATTTTGTAAGCGTGACGGCAAAAGTTGTCGCACCGCCAACGCCAAGTCCATCTCGTGAATCCACATGAAAACATCTCCTATCTTATATTTCATCATTGAACGGCGCCGTTTCAATTCTAAAAAATAAATAAAAAAGCACCGCAAGACGCAAGTCCTCAACATTTAATTTAAACGTGTACGGGAAGGGACTCACGGCGTTAGTGACCCCACCGTCAAGTTCGTGATGTTTACCTAATCTGATTGTGGGGTCCATGGGGAAGCGAACCGACGCTTGTGCTATAAATTCTGTTTTTCTTGGGTAGGCGATTTCTTTGAAATTTAAATCAAAAAAATAATATTTATGAATTTAACGTGCTCTAACGGAAAACGAAATAAATGCCAAGTGATATTATCACGAGTTGGTGAACTCAAATTTGTATTTATTTTTTTCCACAAATAAATTTATTATTATTTTATGAGTAAACAACATATTTCCACATGAGGTTCAACGAAATCCTTAATTAATACCTAGTGTCATTAATTCCAAATACCCACCTTTAAAGTTAAATCAAGTCATTTATTTTAAGTTTTAAGGGCTAAAATGGTCATTTTCTCTCTTCCCTTCCCAATTTTTTCCTCATCTCCCCCTCCTCCTCCTCCTCCTCCTCCTCCCATCTTCTTCTTTTTCCCTCCACTACCGATGGCTTCATCCCTCTACCTTCATCAAAACCCCATCATGCCCTAGTCGCACCAGCTCGTCATTTGTCAGTCGTCCCCGACTGTTTTCTATCACTTTTCGGGGATGAAAATTGCCCCCTACCCATTTTACGACTCCCCAACAGCTCACAATTCCAACCCACTACCCCCCGACCACCTTGACTCCCCTTTTCGTTGTCACCCTTCACCTCAAGTGTTACACTTCGCCAACTTCTTTCCGACCAACTCTATCACCGAAAATCTTCATAAGTCCACCATTCAACTCATCAAAAAGCCCTCTCCAATAACCCCATGCTTTTCGTCCTTGATTTCTCACATTTCAATGCCAATTGAAGCCCCCTCTCCCTAGGGTTTTTATTTTGTATTTTTTTTTTTTTTTAATGGTGTGATTTTAGGTGGTGGTTGTTGGATTTGGAATGGGGTGGTTTGGCCGACTATAGTGTTGTTTTGGACAGTTGTGTGATGATTTTGGGATGGGGTGGTCTGGAATCGACTGTGGTGGTGGTTTGAATGGTTGTGGTCGTGGTCGTGGTTTGGAATCGGTTGTAGTAGTGATTTGGTCGGCTATGATGGTGGTTTGGAATGGGGTGAAGGACAGTTTGATAATAACATTCATCATAACCGAACAGTCACGAACTGTGTTACTTTAAAGGTGGGTTATCAACTTAGGTTTTCATTAAACCTGGGGTGGGAATATGTTGTTTACTCTTATTTTATTAGAATAATAAATACATTAATGGGTACATTCAAACGGCGTGATTTATGTGAGATGGTATTAAAATTTATCTTAGTTATAGTCATAGCTATGGTGCCTATTGATAAATTATGTACTTGTACTTAATTCAAGGTTTATTAATAAGTCCACAACTTGCTATAATATTGAAATTTCATTTAATTAATTTAAATTTTAGAGTTGGTGATAAAGTGGGTGTCTAAATAAAATATTCAATACTGTATAAATCTTTAAAGAATTGATGGAAAAAGCATACATAATAACAATTTTTTTCTTTTTATTTTATAATACATATAATTAAAAAAAGGTAATGAGAAAGCTGATGTTTATTATTATAGTTTGAAAATGATTTGTGTATAAACAAGTATAATACTCAGATCTTTAATCAATAATCATATTTGTGTTGAGCATTATTCATTTCACTTTTTTTTTTTTTTTTTAAGATTCACATATCTTTAGTATTTTTCTCGTGTTTTCTTTAATTTTCACAGGTACTATACCAAACATCCTCAAAAATCATGTGTCCTAACTTTGACCGATAAAAGTATTCAAACAAATTTTCTTATTAAATAAATAATTGTATTCTAGAACCATATAATGTGACTAAATTATATCCACACATAATCCTATAAATGTTAGGCACTATAAGATTCTCGTATGTCATTTTCGTAAAAATACATGTATTATGAAATCTACACATGTTAGCTATAAATATAATATATTAAAGCCCTCAATATTGTTATATTATGATTATTCACGAATTATAATATAAGAGAAATATACTGTATAATTATGTTACATCCGTGAAAGTTGTCATTGAAATTTGGTGTTACATATTAAGATTCTTATTTTGGTCAATATAAGTTAGTGAATTTAATTTGTTTTTAGATTATGATATGTAAATGAGTAATACTACATTTAAAAAACATGTATACAAAGTAATATATCATTTAGTATCATTTAATATACATTTATTAAGTTGACTTTTATATTAATACATTCAATTATATTTTGACACGTCACTTTGTGTAAAATCTTTGTAAATGTAAATATTACTCTATGTAAATTCACATCCTAATATATATTCATGCTTGATACATATAGAACCTAGAAACACTGCTAAAGTGATGTAGTATATAGTTGATATATATTCATGCTTGATATATATAGAACTTAGAAACACTTCTAAAGTGATGTAGTATACTAGTATATAGCTCGTAAAATAAGATCATGATTATTTAATTTAATTTATTAATTTATAAGATAATCTTCAATTTAATTACTTAAGAAAATGATTACAACACTATTTAAATGTGATCATTTTGTTTCCTAAAAACATTATCATCTTATTAATTATAATAATAAAGATGTTTAAAAATAATCATGTTGCTGCCCAGGATCGAACTAGGGACCTTCAGTGTGTAAGACTGACGTGATAACCACTACACCACAGCAACTTTGTTGTTCAAAAATTGATCCAAATATTTAATATTGTAAAATGTGATCCCATTCTCCCATGAACTCACTAATGAATATTTAATAGGGTTAAAACTTAAAACTATTCAAATCGCTGACAGATAGGAAATTATGAAACACAGCTTATAACTAAGAGGATTAGAATAAAGGGAAATTTTCACAATAAAATTAAAATAAATATTTTAACTTATGTCTGTTTCTTGTGTATAAGTAAAAAGTTAAGGGTGCGTTTGGTTTATTATTTTGGATAGGATTTTAGGGATAGTATTAGATAGTTGAATAGGGTGATTATTACAAGGTAAAATTTAAAAATGTACCAAAAAACCCCTAGGTTTGCTAATTTAACTAAACACCCCAATATATACAAATTTTGTAAAATGACAAAAACATCCCCATCCACCCACAGTGCCAGATTCCGGCTACCACTGTCAGAATCTGGCGTTACGACGCAGACCGGTCGGATCTAGCCGGACGTGCGTCGATCTAGCATTTTTCTACCAAATCCACCACGGATCTTGCCGGAAAAGGCCAGATCGACAGCCAGATCTACCCGTTAATGACCACAAAAGCCCAGATCTTGCCGTCAGTGACGGCCAAAGCAATGGTCGTTGTTTGGTCGTCGCTGACGGTCAGATCTAGCCTTTTCCGGTCAGATCCATTGTGCATCTGGTCGGAAAAGGCCAGATCGACGAATTATCGGCAAGTTTTGGTCGTTTGTAGGCTATTGTGACAAATTTCGACTACCACCGATGGTGGTTGTCGGAATCTGGCAACTATAGGTGGATTGATGTGTTTTTGTTAATTTTTAAACTTTTTTTTTTCTAAGGGTATTTAATAAAATTAATAAACTTAAGGGGCCTAAAAATAATTGAAAAAAAATAGAAAAGTATTTCCTAAATAATTAAACAAACAAATATTTTGGGAATAGGGATAGAAATATTAAACCAAACGCACCATAAAATATTTTACTTTTATCTAAGTATAAAAACATATTAATCAATAATAATTTTCTTTTGTCAACAATACCCCTATAAAATTTATATAATTTCAATTTTAACAAAACCCTTTTGTATTATGTATTTTTGGTCTTCTTTTAATTTTTTTTAAAATACTGATAATCAAATATTCACCTTTAAGTTTGAGACACAAAAACAAAGACCACGTAAGAAAGAAACAAATTAATTAATATATTTTGGCTATCCAATTTCTTAATTGGCATATTGTTTAAGGTCCTCATAAATGAGATTAGAAAGTATCAAACGAGGGGATATTTTAATTTTTATCTAATCTCTTAAGAGATAATGAAACATATATTAAAACACCCATGATTTTGAAAACTATCGTATATCCCCCTTGTCATTATTCACACCCTTAAATTTATCATTTGTTCCTTAAAGATTCATTTACGCTCTCTTAAATAAAAAATTAAAAAAAAAAACTCTCTATGGACATCTTTCAAAAAATTAATGTTGATGATGATTATTATTTGAAAATTATGAAGTCAAAAATGGTGTTAGTTATTGTTTGAAGACTTACGCACTAAGCATGATGCACGTTTCTGAATATTTGACATGTGTTAAACTTTGAAATTACATGAGGTTGATTTTTCTATTTTTATTGGCATTGACTGGTGTAAAAACTAAAAACAATAGTTCAAGTTTGGAAATATTAATGTTGCCTTACACAAACTAGATTAAGAAATATCACCATGAGAAAACAAAATATAAACGTTGATTTTTACTGTAAACTCCAGATTAAATATGATTTTATTGTCAATTAGACGGTTGGGCATAGCAGTGCACTACCATGAAAAGAAAAAAAAAACATCATTGTCAATATTAATCAGTCCACGACAACTAGTTTCTCATACTCTTCTCCAGAGATGGCAGCTTCCATTGTAAGCTCCGTGTCAATGGCTCCATCATTGTCAAAGAATAATGTCAGCAAATTTTTTGAGAATCCACTCACAAGCGCAACCCCTTTCTGTGTTGCAGCCACCGGTGTACCTCTAGAGTCTCTTAAATTCCAAAACACTATCTCCGGCACCACCGACCCGTATCCCTTCTCTGTGTACTTTCTTTCAATAATTTGATAATCTGTTTCCCAAGGATTGATCCCAGCTTGATCAAATTCCATATCACTAAACACGAACAGTCTTTTTATCATCTGTTGTGGTTTTAAGTTCCCATTCACAGCCACTTTTAATATCAAATCAAACACTTTCTGAAAATCAGTATTAGCACCCCAGTTCATGTTCCTCACAAACTCTGTTTTGGATTTCAGATCATCTCCTTCCACCATTTGAAGCTCCGGGTTTTCACTGAAAGTAATTATTTTTCCCTTCCATGGCTCTTCACTTAACTCAGAAACCAGAACACCCAATGCTACTGACACCTCCATCGGTCTTCCTGTCATGCTGCCTGAGACGTCACTTACCGCTAAACAGTTCCTCAACTTGCCCTTCTTCAACAAATCATCCACCATTCTCTTCCACTGAAGCTCTGCCACTTGTCCACCGTCAAGATCGTCCAAAGAGGCTATGATCTCATGCGGAAGCAATGCACCCGCTGCAATTTTCGCTTTCCCAGATTTTACTTCTTCCAAGTATTTACTGAATCGTTCTTGGTCATGTTTCAAGAACTTCTCTTTATAAAACTTCATGGCCACAGAAGCTACCCTATTGTACGGTATCGAGTCCCATCTATTTGCACCTATGTACACTTCTGGCAATTCAAGAACCTTCCTCAGTGGCACCAACACTTGTTTTCTCAACCGATCACGAACTCTATAAGCGTAATGAGCCTATTCGATCCCTTCATATTCAGGATAAGACTCTCTGGGAAAAACTTTTCTTGCGATACTCTCGCAAATCAACGTCGATCGATCAAACGATGAGTCAATAGAGGGGCACCACTTAGCGGCTAGACTCACTTTCCTAAACTCACCAGCTTCATAAAACTTCATTTCGTTTTTTGAAAGTTTTATGAAGCCAAACGATGTCGTTCTCATTTAGTTAAGTGAATGAATCTTGAGCGTTGATTCAAGATAGATCATGTGGCTCACAATTGCTGATTGTCAACGATATAAAAGAGGGCAAAAATAGTGAATGTGATTATCGGGTTTTTTAGTATGTTCTTGTTAGGGTTCTATTGAGTGAAAAAAGGGGTTATTCTTTGTTGTAATATGGGCAAGATTGTTAAACGGGTTGCGTTTCCTTTTAAGGCTAGGTTAGTTCTCTAAAATCTTGCGGGTTACTGGTAGAATTAGAGTGATTAGGTCTGAATTGAGGTATTGCTCTGATTCAGTCGATTGAGTGTGTAATCTTGGTGTAACTGTTTGGATATTCCTAGTGCAGCAAGTTTTCACATTTCGGAGCTCAACGTGGATGTAATCTATCCATTATTGGATAGGTGAACCACGGTAAATCTTGGCTTGTGCGTGTGTGTTTGATTCTTGAATCTTGTTTTGTGTTTTGGTGGATTTGTGTATTGATTAGTTTAGACTCAGGTTACAATAGTGGTATTAGAGCCAAAGTCCTAAGGAGGTATCTAGGTTAAGATCGATCAATTCGCGACAAATTGGAAATTTAGGGTTTGTCAGAATTTGGGGGTTTTTCGATATAGAGGTTTTCAGATCATTAGGGCTTCGAATCTTGCTGAGTCTTGAGTGAATTCGTGAGTCTGGGTCACAAACGCAAGTCAGGGAGTAAAATCTTGAAATTTTGCCTTGGGTTACTGTTACAGTTACAAAATTATGAGTGCTACTCATATGGAGATCTCCCAATATGATTGGAAGATCGATTTCAACACATGGAAGAAGAAAATGAAGGCCCTCCTTTCCCACAATAAGGTAGGGCTTGCCCTGGAGAAAGACACCACCAAGTGGTCTGAGGAGAAACTGAAGAAAAAATCTGAAGTTGACGAGGAGGCCTATAATCTGATCATAATGAATCTGTCCGATGCTGTCCTGCAGAAGCTAGATGGCATGGAAACACCGCTGACACTTTGGGGTAAACTCGAATCCCTATATTCGTTACAGTCTGCACCTAATTTAGCCTTTCTTAAAGGTGCTCTATTTTCATATAAGATCGATGTAATTAAGTCTATAGAAGAAAATCTTGATGAATTTTTAAAGATGGCATTAGTGTTGAAAGGTACCGATCAGGAGTTAGGAGATTCTAGTTTAGTAATGATATTGTTGAATTCTTTGCCTGATAAGTATTTAGTCGTGAAAAATGCTTTACAATACACTGGGACAGTTCCTAGTGTTGACCTGATTATAGCTAGCCTGAAATCCAGAGAGTTAGAGTTGAGAATCCAGAAGAGAAACTGGAATAACTTGTTTGTCAAAGGTAGAACAAACTTAGTACAATTAGGAAGAGATAATAGTAAAAACTTCCAATAACACATGAATTCTAAAACTAAGAAAAAAGGGAAGAATAATAAGACTAAGGGAGAAACTAGAAAGTGTTTTCACTGTAATAAGCCTGACCATCTTAAGAAGAACTGTTTTGACTAGATAGAGAAATAAAAACAATACAGTACCGAGAGTAATTTAGCCAGCACTAGTACTGATATTGAAATTTCAAAAGCTCTCACAGTCTCAAACCAAGCTAGTAGTAAGGATTGGGTCCTAGATTCAGGATGCACTTTTCATATGAGCCCAAACATTAAATGGTTCTAAAACCTTAGGAAAGGAGAATTTGAAATTGTGTTCATGGGTAACAATCACTCTTGTAAGGTCCAAGGTATAGGAAACATAACTATTAGGTTGAACAATGGTAAAACCATAATGTTAACCAAAGTGACGTACATACCTGATCTTAAAAGAAACCTGATTTCGTTAGGAACGTTGGATGAAGCTGGATGTAGTTACAAGGCTGAAAAAGGGTCCATAGTAGTTTATAAAAATAATGAAACATTGCTTGAAGGAGTCAAACAAAATGGACTGTACATTATGTGTGGCCAACATTTTGCATCTACTGTTAATTCTACTTTATTATCTACTAACCTCTCTGCTGTAGAGAAATGACACTTGAGACTTGGCCACATAGGCCAAAAAGGTATGACAGTTTTAAGCCAACAAGGCTACTTTGGTAAGGAATCCATATCTGAGTTGAGTTTCTGTGAAACTTGTGTATTAGGTAAACAGCACAGAATGAGTTTCCAAAAGGGAACTCATCTTGTTGAAAAATGTTTGGATTATTTGCATGTGGATCTTTGGGGTCCTGAAAGGGTTAGGACACATGGAGGGAATTGCTATTTCCTCTCCATTGTGGATGACTACAGTAGGAAGGTATGGGTGTACCTCCTTAAGTCCAAGGATGAAGCCTTAACCAAGTTTAAAGGCTGGAAAAACATGGTTGAAAACCAAGTTAATAGGAAGGTAAAAGCCTTTAGGACAGACAATGAATTAGAATTCTGCAACCTGGAGTTTGATTCTTACTGTGTAGGAGAGGGAATTTTAAGGCATAGGATAGTTAGGGGAACCCTTCAGCAAAATGGGGTTGCTGAGAGAATGAATAGAACCCTACTAGAGAGGGTTAGATGCCTTTTATTCACTGCTAGTCTACTAAAAACCTTTTGGGGGGAAGCACTAGGTACAGCAGCCTACCTAATTAACAAAAGCCCTTCAAGCTCCATAGACTTTAAGTGCCCTGAAGAGAGGTGGTCTTAGAGGAGACCATCTCTTGAACACCTGAGAGTGTTTGGATGTGTTGCATATGCACACACCCGAGATGGAAAGCTAGAGCCAAGGTCCCTTAAGTGCCTTTTTTTAGGGTATCAAGAAGGAACCAAGGGCTATAGGCTTTGGGAAAGGGCTGCCCCAAGGATTAGAGTAATTGTTAGTCGAGATGTGATTTTCAATAAAGTTGTTTTCCCTTGCAAATCTGGTACTAACAATGCAGATAGCTCACAGGAAGATTTTGATAACCTTGGACAAACTGGGATAACTTAGTTTGAGGTGGAGCCTACAACTCATCCTGATAAACATATTCAAACAGATGAGACAGGTCCACTTGAAGACCAGCTACAACCAATCCAGGGACAGGAGGATGAAAAGGACCCTCCTGTGAATACTGAAGTGGATCAACCTGATGATCTGGCCCAATATTAATTAGCCAGAGACAGAGCCAGGAGGGAAATCAGACCTCTCACAAGGTACAACTATGCTGACCTGATCTATACAACACTCCTGGCTGGTTCAGAAATACATAGATCTAAACCTGATACTTATGCTGAGGCAATGAGATCAAGGGATAGCAAAGAATGGGTGGCTGTAATGAAAGAGGAAATGGATTCACTGCACTTGAACAACACTTGGACACTTGTCCCAAAGCCCAAAGATCAGAAGTTGGTGGAATGTAGGTGGCTCTACAAACTGAAAGAAGGAATCAACCAATCTGATCCACCAAGATTCAAAGCCAGGTTAGTGGCTAAGGGCTACACACAGAGGGCAGGTATTGATTTCACCAAAATCTTCTCACCAGTAGTTAAATTTAAAACTATTAGACTCATGCTTTCAATTGTTGTACAATATGACTTAAGAGATAGAACAATTGGATGTTAAAACTGCTTTTCTGCATGGTGAGTTGGATGAAAAAATATTCATGAGTCAACCCACAGGTTTTAAGGATAGACAACTGCCTGATTATGTATGCTTACTGAATAAATCTTTGTATGGACTTAAACAGTCCCCTAGGCAGTGGTATAAGAGGTTTGATGCATTCATGGTAGGAAGTGGATTACTAGAAGCATGTATGATAATTGTTTCTATTTTGCTTGCATCAATAACATGCCAATATATCTTCTGTTATATGTAGACGACATGTTACTGATTAGTAAGTCCATGTCTCAAATTAATGAACTAAAAGCCAAATTAAATACTGAGTTTGACATGAAGGACTTAGGAAGAGCAAAGAAAATCCTAGGAATGATGATTGATAGAGATAGAAGTACGAATACTCTTAAACTTCATCAATTCCCATACCTACAGAAACTAGTTTCTAAATTTGGCATGGCTAACTCCAAAATTGTAACAATGCCTCTTGCAAGCCATTTCATACTTAGTAAGTTACAGTCCCCAAAAACAGAATCTGATATGCTGAAAATGGAAAATGTTCCTTATTCGAATGCCATAGGTTCTGTGATGTATGCTATGATAAGCACCAGGCCAGACTTAGCTTATGCAATATCACTATTGAGTAGATTTATGTCAAATCCTGGAAATGAGCATTGGATTGCTCTAAAATGGTTGCTTAGATACATTAATTGCACTATTTAGATTGGTTTAGTTTTCTGTAAAAGAAATGCATCACTTGATCTGGTTGGGTATGTAGATGCTGATTTTGCAGGTGATCGAGATTCCAGGAAGTCCACTACTGCATACTACTTCACATTGGGAGGTAACTGTGTTAGCTAGAAAGCACAACGGCAACCACTGGTTGCACTGTCAACCAATGAAGCATAATACGTAGCAGTTTCAGATGCTTTCAAGGAAGCAACATGGTTACAGGGAATTCTGAAGGAAGCAGAGTTGTTGAATGGCACAGCAACAGTCTACTCAGACAACCAGAGTGCCATCCACCTGAGTAAGAACATAGTGTACTATGAAAGAACAAAACATGTGGATGTCAGGCATCACTTCGTCAGAGACCTGATTGCAAAGGGAAAAATTGATCTCCTAAAGGTACCAACTGAAGAAAATCCAGTAGACATGGGAACCAAAGTTGTGACCACAGCCAAGTTCAAGCAATTTCACATCAGTTAGCCAATTTTTAGAGCTGAGATGAAATATGGGAATAACTACTGCACTGAAGGAGGTCCAACAGAAGAGAGGAAGGCAGAATGTTGGCTTCAAGGTGGAGACTGAAAGTTTTATGAAGCCAAACGATGTCGTTCTCATTTAGTTAAGTGAATGAATCTTGAGCGTTGATTCAAGACAGATCCTGCGGCTCACAATCGCTGATTGGGAACGATATAAAAGAGGGCAAAAACAGTGAATGTGATTATTGGGTTTTTTAGTTTGTTCTTGTTAGGGTTCTATTGAGTAAATCAGTTTGGGGTTTTAATTGCTGGGGTTATTCTTTGTTGTAATCTGGGCAGGATTGTTAAAGGGGTTGCGTTTTCTTTTGAGGCTAGGTTAGTTCTCTGAAATCTTGCGGGTTACTGGTAGAATTAGAGTGATTAGGTCTGAATTGAGGTATTGCTCTGATTCAGTCGATTGAGTGTGTAATCTTGGTGTAACTATTTGGATATTCCTAGTGCAGTGAGTTTCCATATTTCGAAGCTCAACATGGATGTAATCTATCCATTATTGGATAGGTGAACCACGGCAAATCTGGGCTTGTGTGTGTGTGTTTGATTCTTGAATCTTGTTTTGTGTTTTGGTGGATTTGTGTATTGATTAGTTTAGACTTAGGTTACAACATTTTTCAAACACTCCACGAAATGATCTGAAACGCGGTCGTACAAGAACCGAAAATTCGGATCATGTGAATATCTCTCCACGACTTTCTTTGCCATCCAAAATCGTTTTTCTTTTCTTAACTTGCTCGCTTTTTCTTTCTCAATTCTGTTCCTTTCCTTTGCGTTCTTGACTAGTATATGTTTTAGAATCAACGATTTTTTGTTTCCTTGTTTGCAGAATCCTCTACGATTGACTCTATAGCCATGTTTTTCCTAAGACTTTCTTCTTCCGTTTCCCTTCCTCTGCATCCACTCAGCTTTTTGTATTTTCCTCACGTCCAGGCCCTCTATAAGTCGGTAGATTATATCAAGGAGATCCTTAAAATACCCGAAATCCTCAAACGATGCCATGTTGCAAGCTAAGGTCTTGGGGTGGAGCGAATGTAGCCAAAGCGCAGCCGTGTAGAAGCCTTCCTTGTTGGACTTGTCGGTGCCACGTACACCTCTTAGATTACAGATAAGTTTGAGGGTAGTCAACGGGTTGTGGGCCCATGCAGCTTGAAGTCTCTGGATCAAAGTGTGAGGTGGAGTGTTGGGTACCACGTGAAAGAAGAAATCGAGGCAAGGGTTGCTTGAAGAAAGAAAAGTGGGTGAACCATTCTCGGTGAAGCCCATGGGAGGCATTGCAGCCACCGTTGTTTTGTTGAAAACGACCACCATCAGATCAATGAAACGGTTAGCCGAGGGTGGTTGTGGCTTTGGGTTTGGATTTAGTTGAGACTGTGATGGTTGTGGGGCTGGTTTGCGGAGATTGCTGGACCCAACAGAGAAGCCATTCTGAGATATTTTGTGTTTGCTTTTATCATTTTGGGTTCGCAAGTTTTGAAGTCAGAATGATAAGAAGATGGTTTGATTGTGTTAATGGCGTTTGAGTTGAGAAGGTATTTACATTGAGCACATTACTTGGTGGCGAAGGTTTATTTACTGAATATATAGAAAGGGTTGCCGTGGTGACCAAGTTATTTTCGAATTAATTGCAATCTGATTATTCTGATCCCTCCCAAACAATTATCAATTGAATAAGGAAAATGCAATATAGAATCTTTTTTAGGCCTATATTTTTAAATACTTTCGGCAAATTAATTCATATTGTTGATACAAAAATTCGCACCAACCCGAGCGATCCGATTGACTTTAACGGAATCGAAATGGATGTGTGCGTGATTAATGATAACCAGTAATGGAGCAACAATGAATGCAATAAGGTAAATGGCAAAAGGGATTTTAAAGTGCTCGATTTAATATAAACCTCGGTGTTGTTAGTTGGCCATCAAACGCAGGCTTGGTCGAGCTTTGAGGGTCGAACCCGTGATCGGTCGACATACTTCACACTTGGATCTTTTTTCCTTTGTGACACCTGTCAAACTTGGAATATGAATGGTTAGGACAATTATGTAAATTCTATGCAGTCATGTCGCATTAAATGCAACAGCCTTCGATAGTCACGTTTCGTCACGCACGGGCGACTATAGCTGTCTATGCGCGGAGTTGATTCTATATGCGGCGACAGTTATGATCTCAGCAGTTTGGCAATTGATCGCCCCTCGCGAATGGCGGACACGTGGCCACGTCCAAGGGTTAGGATTGTTCGATAAGTGGAGGGTTAAGATTCACTGTAGATCGACGGCTATGATCGAACCCCGCCCTTTCGTCTCTCATGCAAGCCACTATAAAAGCAAGCAAAGTCGTCAAAAACTTACTCGACTTGCGAAAATTCTTTGACATCTTTTGCTTATGTTGCTGCTTCATCGTCGTCACGATGCTCTTTCCGATGACTTTTTCCCATTCTCTTATTCCAGTAAGGCTTCTTTCCCTCTCTTTAGTTGCTTTCTTGATTTTCGCAGTTGAGGGTAGCCATTATCGTGGCCACATTGAGTCTTCTAGGGCTTTACTAGGGTTTTTAAGTGTGTCTTCAGCGACCTTAGGTTTAATGAGGGTTTATCGCGATGGCCGTCGGAACCCTGGGTAGGTCGCGTGAATTTGTTGTCTGGCACGACCTATTTCAGGTGCCTGAATTGAAAGCAAAGTGTAGATAGGTCACCGAGTTTTTCGAGCTCTGACACATGTTCGCTTCTGTTTCAGGTACTCAGAAGTGAGCTTTAACTATGTCTTCGTCCAGCAGCCACACGATTAATCGCATGTTCGATTCACCCGCAGGTTCGGCAGTCCTTGGGGGTATAATCCTCAAGGTGTCTGAGGAAATTGTCGCACGGAGCTCGAACCTCGACGCGGCGGGGTTGTCCGATTGTGCTTCAGTGCAGTTGGTTCAGTCCAATCGGTCTTTAGCTCATAGGCTGGGGAGGGAACCGCAATCCTCGATTACTATTGAGGACCTGAGGCGCATAAGAGAGACTTATGCGTCGCAACTCAATTTGATGGTTCCTGGGAATTCTTCTCGGAAAAATCCTCCACCCGGGTGGGTAGCGACATCTGAGACCCTTTTGAGATGTAGGGTATTTATTCCCCCCCCGCCCCCCCCCCCCCCCCCCCCCCCCCCAAATTATTTTATTGACAGCGTTTTGAGACAATTCGACATCGTACCTCTCCAATCGTTTGCGAACTCATACGTCATAATCATAGGTTTGTATATAGCATATATGATCGTCGATTTGGGTGAGCCATCCGTCGAGGAGCTCGTCTATCTGTATAGACCAAAGAAATAACAAGACCAGACATATTATCTTTCTAAGGCAAGAAAGGTACGTTTCAATGGGCTGGTCAACGTCCTAAAGAAGGTCACGCATTGGGATTGCCAATTTTTCTTTTATGAGGTCCAGGAGACCAACGTTTTTGCTTCGGAAGCAAGTAAGACTTTGAACTACCAGTGCATGCGAAGATTGCTTTGCAGTTAACGTTGAGCATAACTATCTCCCCGCCGCGAGTTTGGAGAGGCTCCAACGCTTCAGCGACCTTCCCGATGGACAACGTGACGTCAACAAGATCATCACGCTTCCTCATTTGAGGGCGTACGAATTCTGTCAGGATAACGCCAAGTTTCTTACCATTCTTGAGAAAGTTTAAATTATTGCTTGCTCGCGCTTATTTCTCCCAAGTTTGCTTCTCTTTTTTGCAGAAATGTGGGCCGAGAAACCAAAGGGCCTTAAGCAGAAGGTAACAGCTTCTGCGGTTGCCAAGAAGATGTTGACTGCTTTGGCAATGAAGCAACCCATTGATATTGCCAGTGTGAAGCGTAGCGGGGGCGAACTTGGGGAAGGCCCAAGTATGAAGAAGCCCGTGATTGCCTCGAAGGCAATTGGTAGGAAATGTGCCCTTGAGCCCCAAAATGGGCCGACAAAGAAAACACCCAAGCTAACTAGATGCTCAGGGAAACAAAAGGCACCCAAGGAGTATGACAGCTCGGGTAAGACGAAATTGATCGAGCCCTTGAGGGGCTTAGGGAAGCAAAAGGTGGCCGAGCAACAGGTTCGCTCGGGCAGGGAAGTCTCCGTGTAAGCTGGCGGCCCAAATAAGTCAGTAGCTAAGGATTCAACCAAGAAGAAATCTGCTCCCACGGGTGAGACTACTGTGTCCGGGGGAAGTAAGTCCAGCTCATCTTGATAGGGAGGCAAGAAGATGGACGAGGCAACTCGAGCTACGATCGATGCTTTGATCGACTAACTCCCCGAACATATCAGCGTTGGGGCTACGACGACTAGGGATGGCGTCATCCTGTGAACATTTGCAGGTGTTGGAGACTTGTCTCCCACCCAGATGCTGGCCTAGGTGTGCAGCTATGCGGCGAAGGTACTAGTAGCTTGCCCCTTTTTTCTTTTACTTGCATGTTATCACTATTTGTTGACTTTCCATCCTATCCTTTTGTTTTTTAGGCTTCCATGATAAGCAGGCTTCTCTACGATGAGTGTTATCCCACTTTCAAGGGCACTCATAAAGGGTGGCAACTGGTGGAGATAGTGAAGAAGAACGCTTTGGCCAGGGCCAAGGTTGTGTAGAAGGAGAAAGATGCCAAGCAGGTTGAGCTCGAATGGCTCAAGGAGGAGATGACGGCCTTCGGGGTCAAGAAAAGGGAGTTCCTTGACAAAATTAAGGTCAGTAAGGCTGCACGAGCTAAGGCCGAAGAGGAAGTAACCGAGGCGAAGAAAAGTTTGGCACAACAGCGGGATGCCGATAATAAGCTGAATTTCAAGCTTTCCTTGGACCACAAAGCTGCTTCGGATCGGGAGGCCAAGTTCAAACAAACCTCGCTCGACCTTGCCCAGGAGGCGGAAGGTCTATGGAAAGCTGAAGCTGAGGTTCGGCAACTTAGACTTCAAATTGAGGAGTTGAATAAAGCCATCACCACTCGGGCTTGGCAGACGTCAGTCTTCCTCATGTAGAAGTTATGGGAAGCTCACCCCTCGATCAACTTTTCTTTCTTCCCGCGAGCTTATCAGAGAGAGGTCGATAGGACGAGGACCAAAGCTCAAGGAGTGGCCTACGTATACTCGGATGATTCCGATGATCAGGTGAGGGCCAGGAAAGGGGTTGAGGAAGGTAAGGAGGAGATGGGCCTCAAACAAGAAGTCGAGGATCCGGCTCCTTTGGTTACACTTCCCCCCAAAGTTGCCAATCTTTCTCTGGGCGAGGTTCCCAACCTTGAAAGGGCTGCTACCATTCCTTCCGTCGAGGAACCGTCTCTTCTAGTCGGCGGTGAGCACCCTGGTTTGGCCAAAGATGATGTCCTTGCTCCCTTACCTACCTGAAAGATTATTATATATCTTTTTTTATTTTTTATGTTTTTAAGTTGTAATCAAACTTTATAATGAGTAGAAGATATTTTGGTGTATCCTTATCGAGCAATCTTTTTTATTATTATTATTATTATTATTTTATTTAAATTCATGTAGAGTCTTTTCAATCATCCTAGTCGGACTTGTCATAAAAAATCCGAATTTGCTCTAAGTAATGCATAACTCGCTTCTTAAGGAGCTTTTTCGAATATATGCGAGGAAATCTTATGCGACAACTCTGATTTTAGATCCATTGTCCGTTTCGAGTTTTGGTCGTCGGCTTAGGGCCGATTTCCTTCGTCATGTTTTTCTTGAATTTTTTCAAGTTTAACTTCGTCGATTCGGGATATTTCACCCTTATAGAGTTGGATTTTGGCGTGGCTTATTGAGATAAGCTGCCTTTTTTTTGGACTCTTGACTCTAAGTTCTTTTTTTTTTTTTTAAATGTTATCACATAGGTTGTGATTTTTGAAACGATGAATAATAAGTATTAAACGAGTAAAAATAACAATGATGAACAAAGAAAGATTTTGAATAATACATCTTTTATTGATAAAGCATTTTGGCCGCGAACAACCTTACAATGAATGACAAAAGAAAGACATAGATGGAACTCGAACTGTTCATTGGTAATACCTTCGCAAATACTCGGCGTTCCAAGCTCACAGTATTGCTTCGCCGTTGAGGCGTTCCAGGTGAAAAGTTCCTGGCGTGATCTTTTCGGAGATCCTAAAAAGACCTTCCCATTTGGGTCTAAGTGCCCCCAAGTTCGGGTTTTGGGTACCCTGGACAACCTTTCTTAGAACTAGATCACCCACTTCAAAGTCTTTGTTTTTGACTTTGGTGTTAAAATATCGTCTGGCTCACTGCTGATATAAGGCGAGCCTT